CTCGCACTAATTGGTGACATTTCCCTCGTTGCAGATCTCATGCCACCAAAATCAGAGTTTCCATTTTGGAAAGCCGCAGTGGTAGGAGGTGGTGCCAGAGACGGTTCATCGGCTGGAAGCTCAGCCCCTTTCTCCACCCACCTCTTGAGCTTTTCGTTATAGTAGAATTTGTTCTCTTCACCCAGTTTGGCCTTTTCCAAGGGTAATGTAAAGACAGAATCAGCATAGGCACTAGAAGCAAATGCTTTTCAGAAAACAAATAGCCATAGCAATGAGGATTGATATGATCTAAAAACTATGAAGCACTATTCACAAAACCTATATTATTGTTGGGTAAGGTTACAACGCATAGGTGTTGACCGAGAAAGAAACATTCTTTCCTGGTTGAGCGAACCAGGATAAGTTTTATTTTCTGAAGTCTCACACATGGAAGCCAAAAGCAGAGAGAGCAACAGAGAAAGCATGTGTATATAAATCATCATATGCTTTTACATGATAACGTGAAATGGAAAAGTACCTGGCGGCCTCTTGACCATCGGACTAAATCCACCGTCTTTTGCAGAAAACCAAAACGACCAAACCGGGATAAACCTGAGTCTTTCCCTTGTGCATCACCTGAGGACTCTTTCGTTGATGAATCAACCTGCGATTTGATCTTTCCGTAAAAATATTTATAGATTTGAAGTCAACTTGAAAAAAAAGGATCTCAACACACAGAGAGACCTGTCTCGGTGTCCTACTGAAGTCTGGTTCGGAAACACTGCGATTATGCATCGTCATTTTGCTTCCATCACCAGCAGATGGCATGAGCGAGGACATGGTCATTGTTGACTGACTAGTCAAAACTCTGCCTGTGCCTTGATGGTGATTCTGCCCGTTGGCCTGTGTGTTTCCCTGAGATGTTGGTGCAGGTGGGGGTAGACCACCAACCACACGATGGGCAGTGCTATCAAAGAAGTTGAGCAGTTTACCAACCAATTTAGCAGGGGCCAGATTTGTAAACCCGCCCTGAAGTCACATATTCACCCGCAATAATTTATAACAATGACCAAAATAAAGAAAACTTGTCGTAGTTACTTAATAACGACACGAGTTCTAGAGTTACCTGTTGATGGATACGGATCCTCTCTTCGAGGGAGGACACCAGCTGTTTCCACATGTCCACTTCAGGTGCTCGACCGGTTTTAAGAATCTTTTGCACTGCTTGACAGTACCTGATCTTAACGAAAAATGTCAAGAAACCAAATGAAAAATTTTCATGCTACTAATATGAGAAAAGTCCCTTATCATGCTTACTTCATTGCATCTGAGAGTTTTCCGATCTCTGCCAGCATATGCGCATAAATGATCTTGTAAGGCTGGAAAGAAAGGAGCATGTACTGCGAGTTCCCTAGCACCTTTGAGTATTCGTATAATTCCGTCCTCTGCTCACATATATGTCGCCAGAGTAAATTAAGTGCTACTAGAGAGCGAAACTCATAAAGAAGAAGAAACAATAAAGGCAAAACCACAAGGGGGAACCTGAATAGCCTCTGGACTGGCATATGTTCGAGGGAAATTCCAGTGATCTGCTCCAATTAAACAGAGTCTTGAAGTATCTGAATATGGCTCAAAGTTCATCTCCGCAATAATGTAGCAAATATGAGCCGCAATGACCTGGATTTCAAGTTTTGTGAGGTTTAAAGCATTATAAAAACTGTCTCAAAGTTGAGAATAGTAGCAAGTATATGGTAACAGACCTCACTTCTATCCTTCCACAAGCAATCTCCTAGATGAGTAATCACAAGCTCATCATCCTTCGTTCTATTTGCTGTTATCACAGCCAAATTCTCTTCCCAGTCGTCAAGCATGCTACTACATCCATTCTGAAATAAAACGAAGACGAGAATAGGTCAGTTTAGTTAACCTTACTGAAACATTAGGTAACTCAAGTCGACACTTGTTACTCTATGATTGTCTTCCCATACGAATATGCACTACTAAAAGCTATTTCAAGCTGTCCAATTCCAGAGTTCATTCTACACATATGATCCACAATAACCAAAACAATTCCATGAAATAATGAAATGATGATATGCTATATCATATTATCAGTAGGCCATGTAGTTTGGAATTCTGATTCCTGGGAGATCTGACATGGGCTTAATCCAGCGGTTTATTTATACAACAAGAAAAACATTTAAGATATGGGTGAATATAACAACCTCAAAAGCATAAAGACTTGATTACTATTGATATGTCACCTGATTTTGATGAGACATAATTGTAGAGCCATCAAGTCCATCACTCGCATTGTTGCTGGAGAAAACTTCAGCCGGTTGTCCAGCAACGAGTAGGCATAACGTTCTGAGAGGCGATCCAGCTGTTAGCTGGCAAAGTGCCATTTGCTTCACGGTGTCGGCATAAAACTGCATTTTGTTGGTATCCATACCAGAAGAGAAAACAACAACGTGAGTCACAATCCAATTCTCATTTGACATGAAAAGCAATATTACACTAGCTATCAAGAGGAAGAACAAAAGGCATGAAGTTATGGAACCTGTTCTCCGAGTTGAGCTGCAATGATAAGAGCAAGCCCCCATAACTGGCCTTCTTGGGCACATTGCAGGGCCTCCATCTTTCTACCAGAAACCAAAAGATTCTGCACTTCTGAAGCAGTTGTCTGGAAAACACACATAAGCAGGTCAACAGACACGTACCTCAGATATTTGTAGGGTGGATATTGGAGTATAACATACCTGCAGCTGTTTCTCTGGCGGCATATGCCGCAAACAATGACTAAGAGAAGCATACATGCTGTACTCCGTGCCTTTCTTCTTGGCCGATGCAAACAGTTTAGCCACAGCTGATTCTGGAGTATTAGACTCCTGTTAAGAGCCAAAGTTCAGACATGTAAATCATCATAAAACAAATAAAAGACAGACGATCAGGCTGAAAGATTTAGCCTTAAATAATATAAAAAATATGAAAGGAAAACTCCACAGTATGCAGATTGCGAGTGTACTTATATGGCAAATAATGAGCACTAGCTGACTAGCACCAGAAACAAACAATAACCCAAAAAAGCTGTGTAGAAATTTATGAACTGTTTAAACTAAGAATGCTAGAACATGGGCGTGGTAGTCCAGCAACATGGAATCGGGTATTGGGCATGGTAGTTGAAAACCTAAGTTCGATTTTCTCAACCTGCAAATCATGTTACAACTAAAAGAAAATGAAAGAATTCTGACGATAACTACAGAAAAAGTGACATCCAACGCATCTGGCTGGAAAAACTATCCTGTCAAATCAGGGATGTAAGTCCTGAACTACCATAGAGAGATACAGCAGTTAAAGATCAAAACCCTATCAACAATAAGAAAATTACATACCCTCATAGTTGTGTTGGTGCCAAAAGGAGATCGAAGTTTTCCATAGTGCTGACAAGCTATCTTGAGTAGAGAAAGTAGCAACTTTAGTAATTTTCCTTTCCCATGATCTGGGCCAAGAGATTCAAAACTTGACATCCTTTCATTGATCCACTTATGCAAGTCTTTGCTGCCCACGCTTCCACCAGCCAATGGACCTGGAAATGATTGATGGCATACGGTACTGAAGTAATTGGAAGTCCCTGGTAAATTGTCACTTCCAGAAACAGCCTCAGTCACATTCAAGACAGATATAGCGTTTCTGCCAGAAGTCTTCATATGAAACATACATAAAGAAAACAAGTATTAGGCAATTCAATGCATATCATATTGACTCAAGAAAATTCTGCATATATGTGCATCAAATGAATAAATTCTGAGAGAAGAATTTATCTTATCCATTTCCATCTCCAAACCAAAACTTCATAAAGGATATGGGCAAAGACATCAAAGGCCCTCACCTGGCTTCCAATTGATGAACTATTATCTTTCATCAATATTAGTTTTCCACCAAACCCAAAAGTAACAATGCCATGTGGTGGACGCCCATCCGGTGATCTTCCAGAACTGAGATCATAAGGAAATTGTTGAATGGTCTGAAATGATTGATGAGGTACATTTGAAGATAGTTGACTCCCACAGAAATCGGTTGAGAAACCCATTTGCCCAGCATGTTTCATATTTGTCACATCGAATTGCAAGTTAAAATTCGTATCAGGAACAAAGTTTTGAGTCCCATCCACGCCATTTGTCTGAAAATGCCCTTGACCTGCTTTGTCAGTTGAATGATATCTGGACATATGTTCGAAAGAGAGGTTGTCAACGAGACCATTAGAACTGTAAAAGTTATCTACTTGCTGTTTTCCACAAAAACCAGAAGCCACCGCCGACGCAACTGTCTCAGCCTTAGCTGGAATTTCAGGCTGCCGAGAATTAGTGATCTGATCATTGTGGATTTCGTTATAGTTACTCCAGCTGACATGTTGACCTTGGCTACCAAATTTGTTTGAAGAAAGTTTATCAGTCTGCCCATTTTCACTAAGCATGGTGTTTGCGACATCATTAGAATACCCATAAACAGAACTATACCCATTTTGACTTTTGAGGTCATGAACTTGCTCTGATGATTGAGACGATGCATTGTAGCTATCCAATGTACGCCATTCTTGAGCAATTGTGTCGTAGTACCAGCCTGGGTATTGAGGATCAAAAATCATGTGGTCTGGGTAGCCACTATTCGTTTGGGGGTCCTGATTCCAATTAGAGATTCTCTCTGTTGTGCTAGTCTCAGCTATTGCACTCACAGCGGATTGACTGCTTTGCCTTAAGTAAGCAACCTCCGTCTTCCCGTCGAAAGCCTCACCCCAGGCAGTAGTCGAATTACCGTTGCTCTGTAGTGAATTCATGCTCTCTTCATGGTTATTTACCTGATACCATTGTCCAGTGGCTGGATCATATTTCCACCCAGGATACATGTTCTCCCAATACTGATTGTCACTGGAATCCTGCCCATTAGTAGTTTGAACTCCATCCAGTTGATTTTCATGATATTTTCCATAGTTAATCGGGTTATTTGAACCAGTATCTTTAGCTTGTGTGGTTCCTGTTGCAGTATTGCCTCCACAATTTGCATCATCCTCCATATTTCCAGGAAAATCTGCAGCATTATTTCCCAACTCACTGAAGAAATCCAATCCACCATGTCCAGAATTATCCATGGAGTTGGCATAAAACGAGTTCCAGCCCACCTCCTTGACCCCAGAACCCCCGGATCCATTAGTACTGCTACCTCCTGTTGAATAAGATCTCAGTAGCGCTTCAGCCTCCAATCCTGGCTCTTCTTTTCGCAGCTCCATCACACTGTTACTCTCTTGTGCCAATTCTTTTGATGGATCCGACAAGTGAGATTCTACCAAGAGAGCTTCACCATTCTCATCAATCCTTGAAGCCGGTAAACTCGCCTCGTTCCTATCTAATGAATCGCTAATCTCTTTCTCTTGCTGCATCCGTTCCTGGCCACCAGAATCATCATCAATGCTAAGATCACCTAAGGCCCTCGTGCTATCAGAATCACTTCTATCAACGGGTTTTACAGACAGGTTATCGAAGAAATCATCCTCCGTCTGATCCTCCATGTTGAACGGAGGATTCAAAACCTAACAAGAAAATATTCAAACAAGAAAAACAATATCTCCTAAAATCCGGCTTCCTCCGACAGGAAGATCACCGCCTGATTCGTCCATCTGCCTCGGTATCACTCCTATTCGAGCTAAACCACATCATTTCTCCGCCAATCGAGGAGAAAGAGAGAGAAAGGTCCTGACCTCGAGATCCGATGTCCAGAAACCTAAACCAAACGGAAAAGGAACGAGATCTAGCGTTACTAAAATGTCTGAGGCGATTCCACGAACGTCGAAACAGAGATGAAACAAAACGCAATCAAAATCGCCAGTTATCACTTGCGATGTTACAACAACGATAGCATGTCTCGAAGGAATCTAAACCAAATCCCAAACTTACCAGATTCCGGGAAGAAATCCGCATCAACAGAACATGAGGGAGAGCGAGAGCGAACATGTTTAAAAAAGAAAAAGAAATCCTTGGGCTTCGGCTTTCGCACCATCCACCCGAGGAGACAGAGCGCGATGCGTATTTTTCTGTTCCTACATTTAATTGTCTGAAAAGGAACGATCTCCTGCTTGCATTGCATCTCATATACGTAACACAATTCTTTAATAAACTTTTGAAGTTATATAAATCCCTTTGAAATAAATGATATTTTTTTACCAGAAATAGTGTAGGACGAATTTACAAGACTACTAATAATATTAAAAGAAATACAAGAATCTATATTAGTTAGTGGATCTAATAATCACAAAATGGTGCATTAAATTATTAAAATTAAACTCCATGCTAACATTATCATACAATTGATCTACTATTACTACATATCACGTGCGAATGACAGATACACTACCTTCATTTCTCTTGCATTATTAATGTCAATAGTATATTACTACGATCGTTCATTTTTATCACCAGAAAGCTCAACTTAATTACATATTAGAATTATTCGCATACCAATCATTGGATTAAAGAAATTACTAAAAAATAGTTTAGAACATCATAACGGGCTAAATATATTAGTTGAAAGCCCAATGATTACGGCAACGAATTCGTACAAGAAAGGGCCCAAAATTTGAAGGTGTGGTCGGGTCGGACCATATAGGGAAACAAACAATAGAGATGTCTGAACCCAGAATTGGAAATTTAAGACTTTAGAGAATACAGAGTGAGTGTTTGGCTTTCTCGTGAATTGAAATTCCACTCCTAAATTACGGGAGTAAATAGTATAGTAGGTCGCATAATATTATCATTCATAAATTCCTCACATCTCTATAAACAACCTCTTCTTCCGGGCTTCTCTCCTCCATTAGCTTTAAGGCCCCTCCCCTTACCTACGTTTATATCTGGTACACGTCCAAAACACAGATTGAGAATTCCTTTTATGTGTATATATATATATATATAATAATCATTACGTTTTTGTAGAAAGTGGAAACATAAAATAATACTACTTACCGAGATTTGCTCTTGAAGGAGTTGACGGATTTCTTACGAGGTTTGGGTCCAGTTCGGTTCTGTTTCTTCTCGCTCATGTCGCTTTGGAACAGTTCTTTCATCTCTTCGGTTCTTGATTGGTTCCTCTGTCTGGGTCTGCTGTTGCTCTGTTTCTTCCCCGAACTTCTCTCCATCTTTCCAGAGTCCAAAGCCCTCTTCTTTGCTTTCACTGCCTTGGCTCTCCTGTATCCAACTTCTACCATCGATATTCCCTTCTTCTCTCCTCCCTCCTCCTTCTTGCTCTTCTTCAAATCCCTTCCCTGAAACAAAAACTCACCCGTTATATATGAGACTAACGTTGAAGCCACCGCCCAACCACATGGCATGATCGATACGTACTCTTGACTTTTGTGGTCGCTGCTCTTCTCCTTCTTCTTCTTCCTCGTCTTCTTCTCCCTCCTCCTCTAGCATCTCTCTTGCTGCTTCCAGCTTTCTACGCTTTTTCCTTGGCAGATTTTTCTGCCCCCCGAAGAAAACACAATGAATTTAAGTTTTTTGAAAAAAAAAAGAAAGACAGAGATTACGCAACTGAAACTGAAAGCACAAAACAACCTCGCGTTCCCGTCTCCTCTTCTCCTTCATCTTGAGTTCCTCTGCTTGCTCTGCACTCATCATCTCGCTTCCCGAACCTTTCCCAGCAGATTCCTGTCCATTAACAGATATCTAAGTTACTCAGGAAAAAAGGGTATCCTCTTACCTTTTTTTTTTGGAACAATGGAAGACACCTAGAGAAAGTGTCTTCGGAGATACATAAAAGATAGAAAAAAAAAGAAAGAAAGACCTTCTCAGTCTTGGCCACAAGTCTCTTTTCCTTCTCTGTCAAGAACCAAGTCCTTTTTGGGCGTGAAAATATCTCATCCCTGTGTGCAATCATATTCTCTGCCTGCAGACAGAATAATGATCTTTTATGAACGAGATGCTCCATTTTCAAATCAAACCAGTCACAAAATGAGAAATACTCTTGCAACATAATGAACCCGACTTTTTATACCTTTGCAGCTTCCATTTCAGCTTTCCTTAGTGCTCTCTCTTCCCTGCAATATATGACAAAGCCTTAATGCATTTGGAAGAAGAAATTGCCCACGAGAAAGAATTAAATAGCTGATGGGTTTGACTAATACCTCTCTTCTTGAAGAACGACAGAAACTTGATCTTCCATTTGCTCAATTATCTGACACCACTTAGTGATTGATTGCTCAGAGACGACTCGGCTTTTCAACTTTGAACCAACCTTTTTTGACTGATAGTCGAAGAAATAGATCCAGACAAAATGTCAAAACCAGCAGGGAAACGAGACGGGGAGAAGCAGGATCTGGAAATGTTTCAGGATCACTCACTATGGATTTCAAAAGGGGTCGGTCACTGTCAGTCACGAATGTAACTGCATATCCTTCCCTTCCAGCCCTAGCTGTCCTACCTACCCGATGAACATAGCTGCAACATAGACAGAGGAAAATCGTCCTCACAAAAGTTAAAAGCCAAGGCACTTGATATATTTGGTATATTTAACATTATTATAACCTTATACCTGTCAAGTTCACGTGGACATGCATAGTTTATAACTGTTTGAACACCAATGATGTCAAGCCCCTGGGAAAATAAAAAACCGAGTATTCAAGCATCAAATATAAAGCACTACACCTCAAAAAGAAAAATCATAGCTATAATAACGTATAAGTAGTACTCACTCGAGCAGCCACATCGGTCGCAATGAGAAAATCCACCTCTTGCTTCCTGAAAAGTTCCAAAGACTAATATGCAAATGACACCGTTAATGATTTTGTCAATACCAATAGAGAGTTATTCATGAATAGAGTAGTTTGATGAAATGAGCTTCTCACATCAAGGCGTTGTGCTTGAGTAAGGTTTCCATGAAGCTCAGCTGCTCTGAGACCAGTTAGTCCAAATAAAATCTTCAATCTATGAGCAGCTTGCTTTGTTCCACTGAGATTAAAAAAAAATCTCTAATTAAACGTGGAAACCCAAAGTTTGATGGTAAAAAAGCACCACTGGTCTAGTCATATTTAACCTGAAGATTATAACTTTGGATTTAAAAGTCCTTGTGCACAATGAAAGAAGGACAGCTTCCTGGTTCGCCTCACGAGTCCTGCGTATTCTTATCACCCTATAGAGGGTGAAGGCACAAAAAACTCGGTGAATAGAGTATTGTATAAAGTGAATAATATAAAAATCGCCATGTTATGAATTAAAAATTGCCAGAAGATGAAGAATAATGCCCGGGAGAAGGTTGGGAAGAATTTACGTAGCCGATCACTTACTCTTCAGTCAATCCCGCAGGCCTTCTTGCTGATGGGTCCGCTGAGAGTCGCAATGGTTTTGTCAGGGAAAGTTTGACAAGTTCTTTAACTTCTTCAGTCATTGTAGCTGAGAAGAGCATTGTTTGCCTTCTCTTGGGGCATAAGCGAACCTGCAAGCACAAAACCAGCAATGAACATCTGTACAGAAAGCAAGCCAAGAACACATTACCCGTCCTCTAAAAGCTGAGAACTTAGTTAACATGTAACCTAGAAGAATCTCAAGAGGATTGGAGGTTGCTTTTTTATGGAAAGATTAATGATGGCATGACAACTTCCAATAAGCAAAGACAAGACAAAGGATTTGCTGTTCAACGATAAGCGGGAGTTCAATAGGATCAAACACATCAAAGAATGCAGAGTAAAGAGACAGGAAATATACCAGCTCCTGTATTTCAGTGGCAAACCCAGTCTGGAGGAGACGATCTGCTTCGTCGAGAATCAAAACTGCAAGGTCATCCAAATGTACTGACATAGAATTCCGCAAATGATCTATCATGCGTCCAGGAGTTGCCACAACAATGTCTGGCATTGACCTCAGAACTACCTCTTGTTCCTGATATATACGAAATATGATATAGTTAACATTTTCGCTAAGCATATTAGAGGGAAGAAGAATGTGTTCAGATGATAAAAAAATGTAACTCAAATCGCAAATCTGATAATATTAGAAAATTACATATAATTTCAGTTAAACACATGAAGGATTTGTAACAGATTCGCAACTTAAGATGGACAACATACATACCTTTACAGAAAGCCCTCCTACAATCAACCCGCATTTGATATCCGTAAACTGAGCAATTTTCTGAATCATACTGTGTATCCTGCATCACGGTCAGAAATAAAACAGACTATACCGTTAGCAATACCATACTTGACAAAAATACTAAGAAGAGAATCACCGGCAATACAAAAAACCAAACCAAAAGGATCCAAAGTAGTAGCATTTGGACAGAGATGAAGCGTAGAACATGGAAATAGATTACTTACTGGACAGCCAATTCCCTTGTAGGGGTAAGAATAAGAACTCTGGTTGCTGCAACTCGTTTAGGACGAAATAATAGCCTTTCTAAAGTAGGCAATGCAAACGCCGCAGTCTAAAAGCCAGAGAAACTCAAGTCATATGGTGAAACACAGAACGTATACTGAAGAAAAACACAAACCTATCACAGAATGCATACCTTCCCTGATCCAGTGATGGCGCTCGCACAAATATCACGCCCAGTAAGTGCCAAAGGTATGCATGCCGCCTACAAATGCGATGCTACCGATTTAGACAAAATGCAAAGGGCTAAACCGAAATTCATACGGGAAGAAAACGGACCTGAATAGGGGTAGGTTTCGCATACCCCAGAGCTTCGCAAGCTCGGAGCAGTGGACGGGATAGATTCAACTCAATAAAAGAATTGGCATGAAAGGAAACTCCTTCTACAGGAGCGAAGAACGGCTTGGCACTAACGTCTTCTTCGTTTGGCCGACCTGTTTCATCGTCGTCTGATCGGTATTCTTCCTGCTCGATAAAAAACCAATTACCAATTCAATTACTCGACAATAAAATCAATAGTGAATCCCAGCCACGGAATCAGACATACTTGTTTGTCGGGCTCGGAATCTGAGGCGCTGTCGTCTTCGTTGTCCCCAGGGATTGGAAGTGAATGTTGCTGGCGAACTTTAGAGATCTTCTCGTCGAGGGAAGTGGTGTGGCGGCGTGCGTGTTCTTCCCCCACCGAGCTCGAATAAGCTGCGAAGTCCCACGGAGACTGCTTGTCACGAACTCGTTTCGTGGTAGGTTTCTCCTCATCGTCATGACCGTCATCCTCTTCTTCAACCCGACCTTGAAGCTCTTCTGATTCGGATTCTTCATCTACGTCTTCGTCATGGCTTTCATCGTCGTGTTCAGAGATATCGCGCTCTTCATCACTGGGAGGTTCAAACAGGAAACTCGAACCCATTGCCAGTTGCTAGGGTTTAATTTCGAACGGAAGAGGAGTTTACCTATATCTATATAACGCAGGAATCTAAATAGAAAAAGGGGCTCTTTAATATGGGCCTTTATGGGCCTACCACCGAAGCCCATTAAATACATTCATTTGGGTACATATTCGGTTGAAAGAAGTTGATCCATGGGCCGGGGGAGTAGCGACGAACACGTGGCATGGTTCCCGTGTCCTCGCCGTAATAATACTAATATTGACAAAAACTGCACGCCTGAAATTGTACGAAAACAACCTTACATAATACGACACTTTTGATATCTTAAATCTGTAATTACGTATTTCGTTATTAAATTTCGAATAGCCGCGTCACATAAATTTAGATATCCAACGTTCCATTTTCATAAGGGTTTTGTGAGGTGAAAAACCAATTTATTTCCCAAAAAAGAAAAAAGAGGCGCATCATTATTTATCACTATGAGCGTTATTAATTAATGCAAATCATACGATATGGGAACCGAAACAAAAAGGGAAAGAAGTAGGCTTCCCTTCTCTCTCTCGCTCCTCCTCCATCGTCACCGTTGCGAAATATCCCAAGCTACAGAGAGTTCTTCACCAACACCTTTTTCGCTTCCTCTAAAACCCTAATCGTCCGATCTGTCTTGCCTTCGAGCTCAGCACTCTCCGGCGGGGCTTTTCTTTGTCTCTCCGGCACCAGATTTCGCGGTTCCCCCGATTCTCGCAGCGTCGGGGATGGCATTGTTGTGGAATCAGATATGAAATCGGTCTCCGGGGGGCTTTTGTTGCTATGGGCGTCGCCGATGTGTGGAGGTTCAGCTTGAGACGGCCGTCGAACCTGCCTCTGCCTCTACTGCAGCACCCGAACGGCGGGGGGAACAAGAAAAAGTTCTGGAGGTGGCGATCCTCTGCGGCGCAGCCCAGGAAACCGGTTCCGTGGACGCGTCTCTGCGGATTCATGCGAGGTGGCGATCCTCTGCGGCGCAGCCCAGGAAACCGGTTCCGTGGACGCGTCTCTGCGGATTCATGCTCTTCGCCTTGGGGCTCATCTCACTCTTCACCGGTCACGTCGTCTCCCACCTCGAATGGTATTCTCAGCGGCTGGGCCACCGGAGCTTTCTGGTAACTCTCTAAGAGTGCAGCTTCACTTAACTTCAGATTTCGTTTTCTTAGTGAAACTGAGTTCCCCTACGGTTGTGATGCTTCATTTCGCGACAAATTGCTACGTATCTCGCAGAATTTGCCAATCATTTTGCGACTGCTATATCCTTTCTTTCCGTCGGTTAGCACAAGAGCCGTAATAGGATTTCAGACATACCTTCATTTAGATTTAGAAAGAAGGTCGAAGGTTTTGGATTTCTCTGTTAAGCTTCGTGGAACATGTTTCGCAGGATATGAGCCGCCGAGATCCGATTGATATATGGAAGTCAAAATATTCGAAATTCTTCTACGGATGCAGTGACAGAGGGAAAAAATTTCCTTGTAAGTTAACCGTTTCAATAATTGAATTTCCCTACGGAAATAGATTACTTAAAATTTGTACATTCTCTCACATTTCTTTTCCTCTTGTTGGGTATGCAGCTGCTGTCCGTGAGCGATCCTCCAACGGGTATTTGCTCATTGCAGCAAGTGGAGGGCTCAATCAGCAAAGGACAGGAGTAAGTGCTTTTGGCTGGTTCAAGTTGTGTTTTTACCAACAATAAAAGGAACCACAGGAGATACTGTATAAGATTTTCATGATGTTGATGTTTGCCTTCCTCTTCTGAATGTTTGCTGATGCCTTTTGCGTTTGTTTGTAAAATAACTGTTTTTCGAGTAGATAACAGATGCGGTGGTTGTGGCCCGGATTCTAAATGCTACTTTAGTAGTACCCGAGCTGGATCACCATTCCTTTTGGAAGGATGACAGGTAACTAGAACAGACAAGTATTCTGTTGGGATTCATTTTTTCTCAATCCGTTGCAAAGTCACCGATTTAGTGAAAACGTTATTTTGCTATGCATGCAGTGACTTTGCTGACATTTTTGACGTAAATTGGTTCATCTCTTCTCTCTCCAAAGACGTGACTATAGTAAAGAGAGTTCCTGATAAAATCATGCGGTCAATGGAGAAGCCTCCTTACACCATGCGTGTTCCCAGAAAGTCTCCTCCTGAGTATTATCTTGATCAAGTACTGCCAATCCTCTTAAGAAGACGCGTAAGACCATTTCTCCTGGCTTTCAACTTGTACATGGCCATTCATTTATATGGAAATGGGGTATTATGGGTGTTAGTTTAGCCTTAGTATACGCTGCTAACCTTCATGATTTCCTTTATTTTAGTATCTACACATGTTTTCTCAGTTGGCAAAGAGATTTCTTTCTGTGGTTTGGTTTCATTCTATGGGTTATAAGCCTCTTTTTTGCTTTTTGGGTTCTTGCAGGTTTTACAGTTGACAAAATTTGACTATAGATTAACAAACGACCTGGACGAAGAGCTACAAAAAATGCGGTGCAGGGTCAATTATCATGCTTTAAGATTCACAAAACCTATACAATCACTTGGGATGAAAGTGGTCAAGAGAATGAGAAAGATGGCCAAACGTTTTATTGCTGTTCACTTGAGGTTTGCCATCCTACTTTACAAACCTGTGTGCCAACGGATTGATTTGGTTGCCTCATTCTATTATGCCTTACTTCTTCACGACCAACAAACTGGAGTAAATAAATATTCTGTTTTTTTTCTCTGCTCATAAACAGACTGTTCATAATTACAGGTTTGAGCCCGATATGCTAGCCTTCTCCAGTTGTTATTTTGGTGGGGGTGACAAAGAGCGAACTGAGCTGGGAGAAATTAGAAAGAGATGGGACACATTGCCTGTGAGTTGACAAGCTCCTTTTTCATTTCCCCTTACCACTTTCTTCTTATTATAGAACAGTGTTGTTATGCAAGTGAATGTCTCCTGTATCGGGTTTTTTTAAGTTAAAAACATCTCCTATTTTTAATAAATGCAGGATCTGAGCCCTCTAGAAGAGAGAAAGCGTGGTAAATGCCCTTTAACCCCTCAGGAAGTGGGTTTGATGCTGCGTGCTCTTGGCTTCGGAAATGGTACGTATATTTATGTTGCGTCTGGAGAAATTTACGGTGGTGAGGAGACACTACAACCCCTCAGAGAGCTTTTCCCAAACTTTTACACAAAGGAGATGCTTGCCAATGATGAAATCATGCCTTTCCTTCGCTATTCTTCACGTCTTGCTGCCATTGACTACATTGTTTGCGATGAGAGTGATGTTTTTATCACTAACAACAATGGAAATATGGCCAAGATCCTTGCAGGCCGAAGGTAATTAATTATAATACTCCACATATGCTCTCTCTCTGTGTAAGTTCTCTAGTATTCATCTGGGTCGTTTCTTTAGAAAGAAGCGAGTTTGGTGCGGTTGTTAAACAGGCTAGGGGAAATTATATATTGATTTTGGCGTTTTCTGCTACCGTTTAGACGATGCCTTGCAAAGATTTTGGTTTTGGTTTCTGCTACCTGTTGTTAAACAGGCTAGAGCAAATAAGTAGAGAGTAATATAGAGCTTTTTGGAATGCATATTATTTTTCTGGTTTTGGGCCTTTTGGCACAAGGGGATGAAAGTGATTTGCGTTGGGTATTATCATAGAACCACCTTGCATCTTGTTTGTATTGTTCGTTAGGAGTGTATTTGATTGTCAATAATTTTGTGTTGGCATGTGATTTATTGCATTACAAATGTGATCATTTACTTCTGAATATATGAATCACTAAACATTTTCTCCTTTGTGACTTGAAAGGAGATACATGGGGCACAAGAGGACCATCCGGCCAAATGCGAAGAAGCTAAGTGCATTGTTCATGGACCGGGAAAAGATGGACTGGCAAACCTTTGCCAAGAAGGTAAAAGCTTGTCAGCGTGGATTCATGGGCGACCCAGATGAGATCAGACCTGGACGTGGAGAATTCCATGAGTTCCCTCAGTCTTGTATATGTCAGAGGCCTTTCTCCTATGACAAACCCGTCAACAACAACAACGAGGAAGAAGACAACCTAGACGGGAACAACACGACTAGCCCCGGGCATGATCATGTGTTGTCTTTGGCAGACGATGAACGAGATGAAGTTTTCCCTGACTAGACTTCTGGCCCTACTCTTCAACCTGGGCATCAATGGAGGTCTGATTGATTGCCCCATCGCCAGATTTTACTGCGACCAGGTCAGTATTATCCGTAACCGTGTTGGGGGTTTTCAGCAATGGATTGTAGATATGGTTGAAGGGGGATCTAAGAAAGTGATTTCATTTTCATTTCAATGCTAGGAGGAGATCAATTCAGATACAGGAGAAATCAGATCCTGTTTCTAGAGGGTTTGCTGCAAGTGTTCATAGGTAGACGATACTAGGTATACATCCCTCCCTTCCTCTTTATTTCCTTTGCCAAAAATCCAATTCCCGGGGGTATTGTATTGTGTTTTGTGCTGTCTTTTTTTTTTTGGCAATCCAGTTTCTGTATTATCTCCTTTACTTAGTCTGCATATTTTCATATTTTTATTTTATTGGCGGGTTCAAATCGAATAGAACTTATGAATTTGGAAAACATACAATGAAATAAAAGAAACGAGAGCAGACAGCTACAAAATTGAACAAGATTGGATTTGAATTAGAATTAAAGAGATACTAGCAGTGTAACATTGACCGAAAAATATGGGTTCGAATTCCAACTCCTGACCCACCAACAACTGTACAGCGATCTAAAGAGCAACACCTCCACTCCAGACGTCTCATATCTCTCCACGTGTCCTTTCCGACACCTGTTTTTCTCTCATTGGTCCGTCCTTCAAATAGATGCCACGTCAGTTGTTTGGCAGGTTTGTGTACGTCCCCTCCCCTCCGGGTCGTCGTCGTCAAAGTTTCCCGAGAACCAAACGGAAAATTTAAATCAAGAAATCACGCTGCCGGAGAATGCGATCGGAGCGCTTCAACTGGTTAATCACCTTCCCTCATTCTTAAAATTGTTGTTATTTTATTGCATTTGCACTGCACCTAGATTTACTTCTGCGCTCTCTCTGCTCATCGGAATTTTCTTTGAATCCCCGTCTGTTTTCCGAGAAAATTACTTGAATCTTTACTTTTCTTTGTTTGTGATTATTCGCATATATGTACATTGAGTCTCCGGTTCTGCTCTACCCTTTTCTAGTGCTAGTTCGTCGGTTTTCTTTGCGCCCAGACAGACAGATTCCAGTGTGAATCTATCACAGTTTGATTATCTAGCGCAGTTTCTCTTTCGTCTGGATTTCTGATGTTTCTAGGGTTTTGGTCTAATGCTTTTGGTTATGCCTTTTTCAGAAGAAAATTGAGTCTCCCTCACCGAAATCTAGGGAAGATGTTATCTAGGTTAGTGGTTTTCTTGTCCTTGCTATGGCTACTCGCTGTCCCTACGGAATCGGCTGTTTCGAGTGTAGATCTAGGTTCAGAATGGCTGAAAGTTGCGGTAGTCAATTTAAAACGGAGACAGAGCCCAATCTCTGTAGCCATTAACGAGATGTCCAAGAGAAAATCTCCAGCTTTAGTGGCATTCCAGTCAGACACTCGGCTAATTGGTGAGGAAGCCGCTGGACTAACGGCTCCGGACCCCGATAAAGTCTATTCCCTGTTGAGAGATATGGTAGGGAAACCATTCAAACACGTCAAGGATTTCATCGATTCGATGTACTTTCCATTTGATATTGTAGAAGATTCCAGAGGTGCTGTAGGCATCAAAGTTGACGACGATTCAACAGTTTACTCGGTAGAAGAGTTGTTAGCTATGATCTTGGGTTATGCCTCAAATCTAGCGGAGTTCCATGCGAAAGTCCCAGTGAAGGATGTGGTTATCTCAGTTCCACCATACTTTGGACAGGCTGAAAGAAGAGGCTTGCACCAAGCTGCTCAGTTGGCTGGCATTAATGTGCTTACCCTGATTAATGAGCATTCTGGTGCTGCTTTACAGTATGGGATTGATAAGGATTTCTCAAATGAGTCGAGGCATGTCATATTCTATGATATGGGCTCGAGCAGTACTTACGCAGCCCTTGTCTATTACTCAGCTTATAATGAGAAGGAATTTGGCAAGACTGTTTCTGTCAACCAGTTTCAGGTTGCTTAACATCTGTTCTTTAGTTTCCTCCCATAATACTCTTATATATATTTTGTTGATTTGTCAAGTTTATGTTCTTTTGTAGTTTCCATTTTTTTCTGTGAAAATTGTTTGTATTTACTTGCTTAACATCTGTTCTTTAGTTTCCTCGTCTAGGTTTAGTATCGGATGTGTTTTGGATCTTTTGGTTCGTTTACGTGTGGATAAAAGACATGTTTATGCAGGTCAAGGATATCAGATGGGACTCGGAACTGGGAGGACATAATATGGAGATGCGCTTGGTGGAGTATTTTGCAGATGAGTTTAATAAACAACTTGGTAATGGAGTTGACGTGAGGAAGTTCCCCAAAGCAATGGCTAAATTAAAGAAACAGGTCAAACGGACCAAGGAAATTTTGAGTGCAAACACTATGGCTCCAATTTCTGTCGAATCTCTCCATGATGACCGTGACTTCAGGTATTTAGTGCTATTTCCTGTAGATAAGGATAACTTTGTTATATCAAGGTTGCCAAATGTTCCCAGTTGACTGAGTATTGGCTTAGTAAAATCTTGAAAGGATCCACGGATCTTCTCCAGATTTTCTTTGGCAGGTAGGATTGTTAACCATGAGCTATTGGGATACAGATAGCTCTTTTATGCAATTTCAAAGCTGTAGTTACTCTTGGGATTTCTTTGTTTAATTTCTGGAACATGCACGTTAATGTGATGTGATTGGTTTTGTTTATGCAATGCAAATGTTGTGCTGTAATATTTTCAATCTTCTTTCAGGAGCACAATTTCCCGTGAGAAATTTGAGGAACTCTGTGAGGATTTGTGGGAGAGATCTCTTACACCTCTGAAAGAAGTGCTCAAACATTCGGGACTTAAGGTTGACGATATATATGCGGTGGAGCTAATAGGAGGAGCTACCAGGGTTCCAAAACTACAGGTTGGAATATCTGCTTTCATTTCATGCCTGCTAAGCCATTCACGTCATATAAATTTCTTTTATTCAACTCCAGTAGTTGGGGTGACATGCATGAGTAAGTTCTAGGCCAGCATATCTCTCCATGCTTTTCACCTAAAGTTGTGAAAGTTCTTTGGCTTTATGATATAATTTAGGCCCTAACTCCACCACAAAATCTACTTTCCTGATCTAGTAAAGATCTGAGTGTCTCATCATGTATGATATGAATTATGACAGAGCAAACTCCAAGAATTTCTTGGAAAGCAAGACCTGGACAAACATCTGGATGCTGATGAGGCTATTGTTTTGGGTGCGGCATTACATGCTGCTAACTTGAGTGATGGAATTAAAATGAAACGTAGACTAGGTATAATTGATGGCTCCCCCTATGGTCTTCTAGTCGAGTTGGAAGGGCCTGATGTTCAGAAAGATGAGAGCACAAAGCAGCTGCTCGTACCAAGGATGAAAAAACTACCAAGCAAGGTATTTGTAAAACCAACGACCTCACAAAAATTGGAGCTGATTAAGAGTATTTCTGCCCTGTAATAATTGTATGTCCCGATTCTATGACAGATGTTCAGATCCTTTATCCTGAGCAAAGATTTTGAAGTGTCACTTGCTTATGAAAGCGAGGATCTTTTACCCCTGGGGACAACATCCCCTGTGTTTGCACGGTATTCGGTTTCTGGTTTGGCAGATGCAACTGAGAAGTAAGAATCAAAAGTTTGTTCGTCTGTTAGCTGTCCACTAGGAGTGAACCATTTATTAAATTTTTGGATACAACTAACAGATAGAAGTTTTTTATTTGAACAGGTATTCGTCACGGAATCTATCGGCCCCTATCAAAGCAAATTTACACTTCTCACTAAGTCGAAGTGGAATTCTCAGTTTGGATCGGGCAGAAGCTGTTGTTGAAATCACAGAATGGGTAGAAGTTCCTAAGAAGAATGTGACTGTTGATAACAACACAACAACAGCTACAGCGAATGTATCTGCTGAAGCTGCTTCTGATGAAAATTTGCAAGAAAATAAAGAAAATCTGCAAGGTGATGTTGGGAATAGCACTGAATCAAATTCAACTGCTGAAGAACCAACAGTGCTTGACCTTGGCACAGAAAGAAAACTGAAAAAGAGGACATTCCGCCTTCCTCTGAAGGTATTTCTAGCTTACAGACTATAATTTTCTTTGGCTTTAGTTACATTCCTGGAATTCCTAGAATATTCTTAACCAATCACGTTCAAATGTATTACTTTTAGGTAGTTGAGAAGACTGTTGGACTGGGAATGCCTTTGTCGAAAGAGTCTCTTGCTGAAGCTAAAAGAAAATTAGAAGCCTTGGACAAGAAAGATGCAGAGCGGAAAAGGACCGCTGAGTTAAAAAATAGCCTTGAATCTTATATATATGCTACTAAAGAGAAGGTGCGTTGATTAACAAGCATTTCACTTTACTTGATTGCTGTATTTGTCTTAATTCTTCATTTTCTTATAGCTATTTGCCTATTGGCATTCTCCCAGATTTATATATTTTGGTTAAATAGATTTCTGCTCGCCCTCCTGACAATGCTCCTTGGCGATTGTCCTCCTACAGCTTGAAACACTGGAATTTGAAAAGATATCTACACAAGAAGAACGACAGTCATTTATCGAGAAGCTTGATCAAGTACGTGTCTTTTCTTGTCCTACACCACTGTAGAACTTCTGCGCAACTCGAAAGATTTTGTGGTATGTGTTTTGACACTGAATCATGTATGCGTCAGGTGCAAGACTGGCTGTATATGGATGGTGAGGATGCTAATGCCACGGAGTTTCAGGACCACCTTGACTCGCTAAAAGCCATCGGCAGCCCCATATCTTTCAGGTGAACTGCCTGCTTTTTGTTGAATCTTTTGAGCTTTCTAAAAAGCTTTTTATGGAACACCGCAGGTTGCACTAGCTGTATATTCATATGTCTTCTTGGCTGTATGCAAACAGGTCGGAAGCGCTTACTGCTCGCCCTGTGGCATCTGAATATGCTCGAAAGTACCTCACTGAACTGCGAGAGGTACCCTACAGGACATGTATCTGACATCTTAGGTTAGAGCGCTAGAAATTTTATAGGAAGAATCACTTTGGCATCCTACTCAGGCACAGTGGGAGTGGTTCCAGCTTCCGATTATAGAACAAGTGCCTTTTGCGCACTCTGTTTTTTTTTTATGCTCAACGCATATGACTGAGTAGAAGCATGTTAGAGAAGGTTAATATATGTATCAATTATCAATCTCTGTTATGCCTTGTTGAGTAGTTTCAGGAGGGTCTAGATAATCGGACAAATGTCTACTAGTTGTAGATGTAGTTATTAGTTAGTCTTAACCCAAAGCCACCATTGTTTTTAGGCACTAAATGTTACTTTTTCATCATTAAATGAGCACTTGGAGTTCGGTGTTGGGTTTTGCTCGTGCAAATGTATGGTTTTGTGATGTCTGTTCAGGACAAACCCATTAGGCTAACTTTGTTTTTTTTTGGGGGGGGGGGGGG